AGGGCTGTTTTCTTTGAGGAGTACATCAGCTCACATCAATAGCTATCAATGAGGGCATAAGTTGCCATCAAAGTGTCGGAGAGATTGCGTGTTTACTGCCCCAGCAGTCGCACGAAGCAACAATGATAATTCTTAGAGAAGACAATTTTCGTGATGGAAGCTCTATCAAAATTCCTGTGGTCTATTATAGGGCTGGGTGAAACTTCATGTGAATCACCTGAGGCAAAATATTCATACGGTTGAAGAGTTTAAGGCACAAATGTTTTGTCTACTTATCTTTCCCGTACGAAAATAAGGAGCGAGACAAATCCGGCAGCACAGCAGGCATGTTTTTGTGGATAAAGGTTTGTACACACAACAACAAAAGTAAGGGTGGCTGTTATCGGTATGCCGTGCGTAGCGTGCGCCACTAAACTGGGGACATGGGGACATAAATGCTAAATGTCAACTCAAGCGAGAACACTTTGGTCAATTACAGAGCAGCTTCATCCCCCGAATCCCAGGGGCAGCTAGTCGGGACGACGCGATAGTTTTCGAGTGATAACTCTTGTTGTAAACTTTCGCCCGAAAATGTCGCACGGCCGGAAATATCGAGATTCCGACTAGAAATCTACTTAAATGTAACGATGAAGAGCAAATAGTAAGTACAATAATTTGCTATCTAGCCATGTGGATTTGCGTTATTCAGGGTACAGCACTGTTGTGTTTACTGAGGACATTGTAAATAAAAAACACATTTTGCATATAAAACGGAAACTTTTTATAAAACCAGCAGTAAATCCATATTTCAGACTGATGACGAGGCAAGGCAACTTTAAGTAATTTATTTCACACAAAGCACTTGCTAAACTTGTCGTTTATTGGTGCGCAGGGTTCTGATAAACCTCAGTTATGATATAAACTGAAATCATTTTTACCTTTTAACACTAGGCTTTTGCCATTTTATCCCTGATCCAAAATTATATCAATATAAAGAAATTTTATCATGGTCTAGACTAAAGATGTTGTCAAGTGGTTATATTCTGCTCAATATAATGCAGACGTTTTTGAACTCAAATCAGCACCAGAAAAAACACCGAAATAAAATAGCTAATCATTTTGACCTATTACTTAAATTGTGTATTTTTCAAAGTTTTAAGATGTATTTACTGTCATACTATTCTCTACAAAGAAACTGAAATAAGAAACAAACAAACAAGCCCGAATGTTGTTTACGCCGTTCATCTCAAACATTGGGTTTTGAACGACAAACTTCTTTAATCTGCAAAACAAAATAAAAAACAGTTGAGTCCTTTACTCAACGGCAATCTTATCACCTTTTCATATTCATTAAAGGTACATAATTTCAATACTTTCATTAATGGACGGAAAACCCTTGTTAATTTTCTAGAAAAATCGAGGGGTATTTCTCGGGAAAAGGGAAAGAAAAGAGATGCTTATTTGAGTAACCGCAAGTAAAAAAAACACAGGGTATAATTTGAAAATAGACCTTAATTTAGGGACCAAACAGCAAGTGGCTCAAGAAAACCAGAATCGCCGGCAACTTTCT